CCGTCAGTATAGACTTCCGTTGGTAAATGACATTTTGCTTGTAGTGTATTTGCATTGATTTAGAAGGGGATGAACCTACAGACATATAGTACAACCCTTCATGGAAATACTACACTTTCAAGTTGGTATGAGGTTTAAGGATAATGTTGAGTTCGAGAAGGCTATTAAAAAGTACTTAATTGTGAAAAAATGTGATTTAGAAGCAGTAAAGAATGAACTTAAGAGGCAAAAATATCATTGTAAGGTAATAGGTTATAAGTGGGAGATTTTGGCCTCTTTAGACAATAGGGACAAAAGCTTCCGAGTGAAAAGTTACTACTAGGAGTACAAATGTTACAAGACACATGTAAATAAGATGTGTACAACATTATATCTCGCAAATGCAAGACCACAATGGAGGATACTTACAATGAATTAAAGCTCAATGTTAAGTTGATAAGTGTCTAGGGGCAAAGCAAATTGTGATCAAAGAATTAGAGGGCAATTTCGTTGAGGAGTATGATAATGTTGTGAGGTATGTAAGGTATTTAGAGTCTGTTAATTCAAGAAATAAAGTTACAGTTGTTGCTGACAAGCCAAGAATTGGTGGTCCTTTGGTATTTTAGGGTATATATGTTTGCCTAAAAGTCTTTAGAGATGGGTGGAAGAATGGTTGCATACCATTAATTGGGGTTTACGAGTGCTTTTTGAAGGGTGTTTGTAAAGGGGTGCTCTTATTGGTTGTGGGAAGAGATAGAAATGAGCAAATGTTTCCCATTGCCTGGGCCATGGTTGAGTCAGAGAGTAGTAACTCTTGGAAATGGTTTTTTGAGAATCTAAGGGTGGATCTACACTTAGGTGAAGGACACACAATCTCTGCATTGTTTCACACTAGAGCATGGTGAGATTTTGATAATGTATTAATAATTCTTTTCCATAGGATAAAATATTATGATTTATAACTATATTTTTTGTTACATTATTATAGGGCTTTCTTAGTGCAAGACAAGAGGTATTCCCATTTTCATCTCATAAACATTGTGCAAGACACATTTACTGTAATTGGGTTGAAAGAGAAGAAAATAAAGATGATGACAAGAAGATAACATTATGGAATTGTGTCAAGCCCACATTTGATAGAGAATGGGAATCAATTGAGGGCAAAAACTAAGCAAGGCTACCAATAATTGATGAACATGAATCCAAAGCGTTGGTGTAAGGCTTTCTTCAAAGAATTTCCTTTGTGTGATGTCCCACACAACATGTTTGAAATATTTAATTCTCGGATTCTATCAGTAAGATGCAAGGCAATTACCAGTTTGTTAGAACAGATGAGGAATATGCTCATGGAAAGGCTTAAGGATAAAAAGTTGAGGATGAGAAGTTGGACTGGTAACATTGCTCTTAGAATTCTACAGAGAATTGAAGAAATGAGGTAGAATCCTTTTGAATGCTATGTTTAGTGGGATGGTGAACATGCTTTCTAGGTGCATGACTTGAAATTTCAATACACACATGTTGATTTCTATGTGAAGCAGTGTTCATGTAGGTATTGGCAAATAAAAGGAATTCCTTGCCAGCATGTTATTTGTTGTGTGGATTATAAAGGTTTGGAGCTAGAAAACTTTGTTAGTGAGTTTTATAAGAAGGGAAAATATTTAGCTACATATGGTACACCTCTTGAATGTTGTCAAGGTGCTAATATGTGAACAAACTATGATAAGGAAAATCCATAGCCACCTATAATGAAAAGAAGGCCAGGCAAGCCTAGGAACAATAGAATGAAGCCAAAATGTGGTGAACCACAGAAATTCAAGAAAGGCAAGCTTATTGTCTTATCAAGGCATGGAAGAAAAATGCATTGCAAGTTACGTGGTAATGAAGAACATAACAAAAGGGGATGCCTTTTTAAGGATAGAAAGGTTGTTGATGGTAGCAATCAAGTCACTGTTGGTAGTTAAGCCCCTTCTGGTACTTAAACCTCTGTTGCACCTTCACCAAATCCAGCTTCTATAAATAATTTTAGTTATTTTTTATATGAATAAGTTGTTTGCATTTTTATACTAAAGCAATTAGTAATCCTTCACCTTCATCTTATGCCTTTTTTATTCTAGGTTGCTACTAGTGGAAGGAAATGGAAGAACAATTTAGGCAATCAAAGCAAAAGGTAAACCAAAAGAAGAAAATATGTTGCCCCTGGCTAGTCGTCAAATAAAAGGAAGTAGAAGGCATGGGAAGAAAGGATGGATGAAGAATGATTTTGTTGTTTTTTTTCCCTGTTCTGTTGTGTATTGATTGTTAGGTCCATTAACTGTTGTGTATGGAATCAATGTTGTGTTCATGTTTTTGGTGGTTGTTGAATCAACCATAAACTTTTAACTTAACTATTAACTGTATGTAATGATCTATATTATTTGTGTACTTTGACTATGATGTTCAATATAAAGTGAACTTATTACTAGTTATGTGCAAGCATGTGTAATTGGTTATGTGTACAACCTGGACAGTTTGTAGAACCAACACTATTTTGGCAACATTAACTTTTTATGATCATTTTTTGAATTATAAACATAAGATAAAGATAGGATATGATAATATTACTGATAGAAACCAAAAGGTGTATAACCCACAGACACAGACATAGTAGGCATAAAACAATAGAAAAAAGAAAAATCTTTTGAAAGTCCTACTCCTTTTTAGTAGCCAACTTAAGAAAGTCATCCAATTTCTTTTCCCATTCCCTCATACCTTCCTTCAATTCTTGCATTTCACCCCTCACATATCTCTATTCAATATTTTCCCTATCCCTTGAACACCTCATTCGATAATTTTCCTTCAAAAACATCATTTCCTCATTTTTCTCCTATAAAAGCTTCACTACTATCCACTCGCCATTTATCTCGTCCTTTGGGCTCTTTCATTTGCCCCAACTTAATCTTCAAGGTTTCTCTTTCACCCTTCAACTCCATGATGACATCAATGGCTTTATTAGACATGGGTTCATCGTGCCACTTTATAAAATTGCAAGTCTTCAGCAAATCACCATTGGAATCCTATTCCAAAGCCATAAATGGGTTGCATAACCAACCTTTGATCAAACAGAAATAATAAAAGCGAAAAAAAAAAGAAGAAAATCTACCCTCACCTTCTTGCCAAAGTTGAGACACCCATATTTTCCTGGGTTAGTCTTCGTTTATGAAGTGTATCTTGGGGATTTCAATCCACATTTGCAGTGACATTGATGACCTTCATACACATACTCAGCATTCCCATGACCCAAGAACAACTTCGATCTTCCAGAAATAGATCGTGAATGTAAAAAAGATACTGACATTTTAAAGGTCAAAATAGATTTCACAGAGGACAAAAACCTAGATCCCCAATTTTAAGCTTTTGTGTGGGTGAGTTTTGAGGAAATAAGTAGTCTAGATTAGCAAATCAGGAGCCATGTTAGCAAAAAAATAGTTGACATCATACCATGTCACTAAATCAGGTCTCGCATGAACCAAGTTAGCAATGTATTAACAGCAAATAATTGAGTTTCATAATAAACTGATGTTTCATGACGTCATACACATGAGATTTTGACTAATTTATTTCAAGCAAAAAAGTATGTGGGTTAATTTATTTCAATATATAAGTTACGGGTTCAAATATTTAAAAAAAAAGAATTAGAGGGTTTATCTCAATAATATCAAAAAGTACATGGGTTAAGATACTCTTTTTGCCAAAAATATTTCTCAAATTTTAATTTTTAATAAATAAATGTAAACGCAAGCCTAAACAGGCTGCCTGTTAAAGATTAAAATGTATAAGTGACGTGGCAAAATGAGGCAGAGAGTGTTGAAATGAACAGTGCTTGCGCGAGTGCTTCTAGTACTCTTCTTTTGCGAAATGAAAAGACCTCTCTACCTCCTTCGTGATAATCAATATGTGGTCATCGTCTCAATAAAATAACGATAGTTTCTGTCATCAACTTCAAGGTTCCGAACGGCCAAAAGAAAGAGAAAAAATAAAACCAGGGAATGGCAAAACCTGCCTGGTACCTCAGAAATCCTGAGGTCTTGGCTGCACAACAGGGACAGCATGAAGAGATCGATCACGGTGGGCTTAATCAGATGGGAAGGTATCAGCTTTTGGTTCAGAACTTCATGGGATCACCGGAAGATGCTGGCGGGGGGGGTAAGGGTGCATAGTTAAAGGGATCACCGGAGAAGCTGATCTAATATGCTGCGTTATCAATTAATCCAACCTACCGACGGATCTGGGAGGTATGTGTTCATTTCTTGAATGATTTCACGAAATTCCTTATCTGAAATTTTAGAATTGAATTTTTTTTTTTTTTTTTGTTTTTTCTGACCAATTAATTCAGACTATGGATGATGTACAGGCAAGATGCGAAGGGTGGAAGTTAAGAGGCAAAACTGAAACATTATTTTTGAGTGTATATAGGGGTGATGAGTATAAAGCAACCGTCTCGAGTATATGCTGATATCGACACGAGGGGTTTGAAACTCTGAAAGAAAAGCAGGGCAACTCTGAAAAAAAAAAAGCAGGGGAAGCCGTCGAAGAGAAAAAAAAGTCCGGAGGACATCTTTGTAAGGCTGAGATCCTGGCTGCGTAAGGGGTTCACCAAGGGACTGATCTTCATTAGATGGGAAGCCATCATCTTTTGGGCAAATTGTGCATAGTTAACGAAATCAGAGTGTTCTCCGCCCACCGGAGAACCTGATATTGCTTGCTGCGTTATCAATTACTCTAAGCTACGACGTATCTGGGAGGTATATGTTCATTTCTAGAATATGATTCCACGAAATTCCTTATGTGAAATTTTAGAATTGAATTTTTAATATCAAAGCGTAATTGGGACTACAGTTCGCTTGCATAGGGTCGTTATCAGATATTCGAAACTATGGTGGTATCCGAAAGTCTATTTCTTTTTCATTTGTTGTTTTAATATAATGGCCCCCACTCATAAGTCACTCTCGTATCAAACACGGCATCTGAAAGTTTTGTTATCGGATCTGTAGAACTTTGTAAGTATTTTTCTTTTTTATTAGTCGTTTTAGGTGGGAAGGGATCATCTCTTGGTTCAGAGCTTCATGGGATCAGCAGAAGATGTATGGTTAAAGGGATCACCGGAGAAGCTGATCTAATATGCTTCGTTATCAATTACACCAACCTACAACGTATCTGGGAGGTATGTGTTCATTTCTCCAATGATTTCATGAAACTCATTATCTGAAATTGTAGTTCTTTCTAACCAATTCAATCAGACTGTGGATGATGTGCAGGCACGATATGCAAAATGTGGAAGATAAATTCTCGAGGTAAGAACTGAAACATTATTTTTGAGTGATTTGGTTAAGGTTAGAACCCATGTTGGTTTAATTTGAAACCTGATTAAACCAGGGTTTTATTCTACCCTATTGCAGGGGTGGAAGATGAACCCTCCCGTTTAGTCTCGCAACTAAACTTTCTTGTTCTTTCTCTTTTTTCTTTTTTTTTAAAAGAACAAGTTACAGTTTCAGGGGAGGGAGATGAACACTCTGTTTAGCCTCATAATTAAAACCACAAACCACTTAGTATATTTTATTCAAGCAGATAATGGCCTAGTTGACAAATTAAGCACCATGTATCAAACGGCATCTAAACCTCACAAGTAATACTTTGTTGATGATAAAAAAATTACTTTACTTTGCTAGCGCAATTTAAGTGATAAATGAATTAATTAAACATTCATATTAGAGTTATTTTTCTAGGATGTTTTAACAAATATCATACATGTCTAATCGGCAGTGCATGAGCTAATTAATTAATAAAGACAAAATTTAATAAGGGAGAGCGGCACGGTTCTTAGTGTTTCTTAAGATTAGTGCAGCTCCCTCCACTTTCATCTCCCTTTTTGTGTGCTATACTGGCTGATCTTCTAATCTAAGAAGCTGAGTTGGTTTTGGTTGTGTCGTAGGGTGCAATTCCATTGTCAATTGTGGTTTTCCTTGATACCAAGGTACGTCTTCTTGTTTTAATTATGCTTTTTTTTTCCTTACATTAAATGAGTAGTCATAAAATAAGATAAGAGATAGTCATACTTTTACGATAATTTATCTTCCCTTTCTTCAAATGTATGAACTTGATATCACCCATTTAGAGTCTAAAGTTTTAAACCACTAAAAACGTCTTTAGAAGTTTAATTATGTATCAACTTAACGAATTAAATTAATGAAATGGCAGAAAAGATATATTTTTCATAATTTAAGAATAAAAAAATATAAAAAATAATTTAAGTATTAAAAATATTTAAAATTAAAAGTTTAAAAACTAGAAATACGTTTAACCTTCTTTTTTAATTAGTACATGCTTTTGAAGTGAGTGGATAAGCTTTTATTAATTAAATTAATACATATAACATTGATGCTAAATCTAATATTAACATTTTTATTTTTTAGTGACTTAGTGATTAAAAAATCCACACCAAAGTAACAAACAAGCCACTCAACATAGCGCCTCCCTCAACCCTCAACCTTCTACAACCGACCAGTTCCACCCACACTACCAGCAATCAAGAGCTGATGGCCACACCCCAATCTGCTGAAGTTCCACCTAGGCCACCTTGACCCAATGCAATTGTAGCAATCCCATCCACCATCACCTATCTGTCCAGCACACCACCACCAACAAAACTCCGTACCTTCCTTGCCACCTCCTATCCCTTCAAAACGCTTACCATTTTATCTTTCCAACTAGGTAAGAAGAGGCTAATAGATTAGATAAAAAACCTCACACGATGGTACAAGCAACTGTTCTCCCACAGCTCCAGGGACCATAGTCATTTGGGAGGTTGGTTTTTTTTTTTTTTTTTTTTTTGAACGAGGGAAAATTTTAGAGGAAGGACTTGGACCTTGGTATGAGCTAAAATGTTTGATACATATGGTCAGCCCACTGAGGGCTGCTAGTACATCACCAGGGTTTTTAGATCCCTCTCGCTACATAATTCAGTGAACAATATTAAAAATTTAAATAAAAATACTTGAAAAAAATTACATATAGAAAAGAAAAAAAATTAATTATTATTTTTTTGTTATAAAATTATTTGATTAAATTTTATAAAAATATTAAATTAAAATAACTAAATTAAATAAAAAAATATTAATTATATCATTAGTTTGTATTTTTATGACATTCGTAAGTAAAAAAAAAAAAAAACTCTTTATTTTCGTTACAGCAGGCATTTTCCTTCAAAAAGCCTTAGGCAGGGCAAATGATAACTTTTTACGTGAAAATTCTAACTGAACTCGTGTTCGAGTCCTCTGAATGTTTCTCTCAAAATTCCTTAAGATATTACTTCCTGTCAATGCATCGACCCCAAGTCTTAAGTGCTTGGGTGAGGCGGTCAGAGGTTCGAGTTCTACCACCGTCGTGAATTTCATCAAAAAGTGATCTGATGGCCGTGCGTTGCGCGCTTTATTTGAGGGGTAAAATGTTCATCCGGTCTAAGAATCAAATTCTCAAGTGCTAACAATTAATTCATATTAATTTTTTAATCATTACTCTTGTCAAAAAAAAATTACTCCTGTCAAAAAACAAAAAACTTTTCACATTTTCCTATGAACTTTCTGCCTGTTACGCCTTTTCTTTTTTTTTTTCTCTTTTTTTTTTTTTTTTGAAACTTTTCAGTTTATCTTTCTAACCTTTTCCACCTTTTTGACAATTAAGCAAGGATAGCCTTCAATTTCAACTGCGCGTTTTCGAAGGGAACAGGTAAGCTTCCTTTATTTTTATTCCAAGTACGCGTTTTCCACCTTTTGACCATTTGGCAATGAATGCTCAACGCGTAATGTGGACTTTTGCCAATGGAGTTGTTGGATTATGTATACGTGTAGGATTAAGGAAAGTTAACAAGAGACTAGAATTACCATGAAGCTACTGGGAAACAGCCCCACATACCAATTCTTTCGCAATTTATCTTAGAGTCGGTGATATATAAATAATTTTTTATATAATTTTTATGTAAATAATATAAAAAAATTATTCTCCAATCATTTCTCTTATCTTAGCGCTTAAGTCACCTTATTGGCTGCTAATGTTGACTTTACCGAGGGAGCTGTTGAATTGTTTATGGGTGTAGTCTTAAGGAAAGGGTTGTTTTTTTTTTTTTCTTTTTTAAGTATTAATTTTTTTTAAATATTAATTTTTCAGTATTAAATTTTAATTAATTTAAAATTAAATTACGTTAGATCTCATAAGAGAGTTCTCTCAGTTTTTATTTTTTCGTTTATAAGATTTAAATTTAAAATTTTATTTTAAGAGAAATTAAGTTTGTTTCAAGTTTAACCAAGAGGGAGGTTATTGGTAACCTTCAAGAGAGTTAACGAAAGACTAATGGTACCATCTTACCAACTCTTTCACTAATTTATCTTAAGTTGGTGGTGTAAAAATAATTCTGTTATATAATTTATATATATATTTTTAGTTACATAATAAGAGGTAATTAATTTTTATTTTTTATCTTATCTTATTTGTATGTGATACATTTAAATGTAAAATTTTTTATTTTTTGTGAAAAGAGATAATCGTTGCACTATTTAAATCGTTGATATATAATTTTTATATATTATTAAATAAATTTGATGTATAAATTTTAAATAAGAAAGAAATTATATAAAAAATATTTAAAAATTATTTAAAAATTATTTTCCTTATCTTAGCGCTTAAGACACCTTATTGGCCGCTAATGTTGACTTTACCAAGGGAGTCGTTGAATTATATATGGGTGTAGCCTTCACCAAAGTTAACAAAAGACTGTGTTACCATGAAGCTACCCTACTTACCAACTCTTTTGCTATTTATCTTAAAGGAGATGATATAAAAATAATTTTTTACATGATTTTTTATATATTTAATATTATAAATAATTTTTTATTATTAAATAAATTGATATATTTAATATTATAAATTTTAAATAAATAAAAAAATTAATTATTTAAATAATACATAAAATTTTTATGTATCACTGGCCACTAATGTGAACTTTACAAGGGCAGCCGTTGAATTTATGGGGGTAGCCTTCAGGTCAAAGTCTTCTTAGTCGGGGGTAGTCTTCTGGATCGCAATTCTTTCTTAATCTCTATTAACGACTCCTTACGTCGGTGAAATTACCTTGTTAAAACTCAAAAGAATTATGGATTAAATAATGGGGATTTACCCTACACTCTATTAACCAAATTTTAATCTTTCAGAGATTGAAAGGGTAATTTTTTTTTATCAATTTTTCATTTGTGTCGTAAATGACTTATTTTTAATCAGATTTGAGAATGAGAATAATTAATTTGAAGGTGCACACAATTGATTTTTGTTTTTAATCAAATTTGAGAATACGAATAATTAATTTCAACATGCTGAATGCTAAACCAAGAAAAAAAATTACCTTGTTATGATTTAAAGTAAAATAGAAATAACAGCTTTCAATTACATTCCTAATTTTCGGACAAGTTGAAACAGGGGTATATGTTTCTTTAATTATAAAATAAGAATAAACGCATTGTAAATAATAATCTTCAATTAAAAAAAGGTAAAAATTATTTTTTTATTTTTTTAAATTAAAGATTTAAAGATACTATCTATATTTATGTATAATATCTATAAAAAAGAAAAAACAATTATTTCTCTTAAGTAAGACAATTAATTGGGGATAAATTAAAAGTTAAAAAAATGAAGGTTATTTTAGGATGAATAGAATAATCTCTTTGTTTCAAAATAACTATGTTTTTTTTTTTAATATTGTGTTTGCCCCAATTTATTGTTTTTTACAAAATATTTTTATATTTTGATTTTTTTAAAAATAAAATAGGTAGAAAAAAAGTTAAAATACAAAGGGTTACCTTGGAAGAGATAAAAGTAATAAGACAAAACGATTCCTAAAGCCATGACAAAACGACAACAGGAGTAGATCATAACAAAACAAATTTCAGAATAATTGTATTTTTATTTTAAATTAATTACTATTTTTAATTTTTTTAAGATAAATAAATGTTTATTTTTTACTTCTAATCTTTTTGTTGTTCCTTTACCATAATTATTCATCCTATTTAAGTCTCAATTTATCATTTACTGTCCTCCTCCAACTTTAGAAGGTTAAGTTTTGTACTTTTAATAAAAATATAAAATAAAGATATAACAATCTTATAATTATTTTTTAAAATAAAAATAAAATAAGAGAACAAATATTAAATAATATCTTAAAAAATGATCATTCAATTTAAATGAATCTATTAAATTTAAAAGGTAAGGGTAATAATTTTTTAAAAGTTATATAAATAAACAAATAAATTGCCATCAAAATTTTAATTTAAACCAAAAAAATTAAATAACAACAGTTATATTTAGATAGAATGAATAATTGATTATTGTTCTTCACTAATCAGCATATTCAGAAAATAATTGACAGTTTTGAGGAAAAAAATTAAATATGCATTTTACAAAGTCATAGAAATACACACAAACTCTATTTTGCTGTAGTCATTTCGCCAAAGATGAAATTTGGTTATAAAATTTATACTATGAACATTAAAGAACTACACTCATACTCAATATAACAAACGAAAATCAGTTACAAACTTGTGACTCATAAAACTTAAAAAAGTATTTGAACCAAAGTTTTTCTCATCAATCTTATACACTAAAAAATAAGAAAATATAAAAGATTTTTACCTCAAGTTCAACTGCCTAGGTTTGATATAATTGAGATTGAAATCTTTACATTTTCAATAAATTTAATTTAACTTTTAAATTTTTAATTAAGAATTTTATATAAAAATTTAATATAATAAGAACAAAGGGGAAAAAAATTTTCAATTATTATTTAAAATTTAGATCAAAAATAAAATTTATATCAAAAAAGTTAACTTAAGAATTGAAAAAAAAAAGATAATTAACTTAAAATAAATTTTAAGTAAAAACAATTATTTTATAATAAAGAGAAATTATTTTTTTTTTTGTGTTAGAAATTTTGCAGTGCTAAAGACAAACAACATTATTTTTCGATGAAAAATGATGCAAAGATAATTTTTTTATATAACTTTGTGTTATTTAAATAATTAATGTTTTTATCTATTTAAAAACATATAAAAATTATATAAACAAATTATAAAAAAATTCTCTATATCCTTTCCTTTTTTAATTGACTAA